GAGCCAACTAGGGTTGGGAAGAGATTTTCTTGTGGTGGAGGAGAAGGACGATGGAGGCGAATACAAAGGAGAAGATAGAAAACCTAACCACGAGCCGCGGACTCTTCCAACGACTGGTGGGCCTTGCGATTTGCTCCCCTTGAGCTCTCTCCCTTCTCAAGCCCTCATGCAAGAAGAAGAAGTAGAAACACAAATTTTTTCATTCAAATCTTCATTAGCTATTACAAGAGAAAAGACCCATATATATAGGTCTCAAGTATACATGAAGAAATAAAGACTAAATTGCCCTCAGGGCCCCAACATGACTCAACTCAACATAAGGGTATAAAAGGAATACATAAAATAAAATGCATAATAACTAAAATATAAGCTCTGAATCGTGGCCGTCGATCTGCGATGCTTCCGACGATACACCTGCTTGAACCTTGGATCGATGTCCTCATCACTAAATCATAACAACATTCAGACAAAGGTATATAACATTGATATACAAGTTTAAAGACAGGTTGTAACACCTCAATTTTCACGCTTGATCTTAGTTGTTGAAGTGTCATGATTGTCAAGTAGAGAGAAAAAGCTTGCTATGCACTAATCCAATCACCCTAAACACCTTAGCATACATGAATTCCTGTTAAAAAAAGTACACTATTTCAGACTACCTTAAGTTCTTCAGAACAACTAGTTTGACTGATTTGATTTGGTCAATAATGTAGAGACAAGGTTGATCCCTAACAATGTACCAGATCTCACTACTCCGTCCAATTCATAACATCATATCAAATCTTTTTCTAATCATAACATCTCAAACAAACCGGCATTCCATCTGAGCCACCATGCATGCCCGACACTGCAAATTTGAGATCTTATCTCATCACGTCCTTCAATATCCTCACAGCCACACTCATTAGATATATTGCAAAATCATATAGTCATTATAAAAGTTGCAACCCCAACCAACCATTATGCTTAACAATCTCCATCATAATGCTTCTTGACCAGCGAACACGGGTTTTCTCCTGAATGGACCAATCGACCACCACATCATCATGCCAACATACACGTTTCAAGTTCGATCGATTCATTTTTTACCACACGTATCCCAATATTCGATCAATAGGTAGATGCCCATTCAGTCAACCAATAATTATGCACATCACATTTTTTAATGGAAAAGGGGTTGGAAAGGTTGTTGGAGAAGGGGTTGTTGGGAAAAGAATTCTAAATTTGGAGAATCTAGATTATACTCTAATGGACCTTGTAATTCACTTCTCCACCCCTTTTGCAGTCATTCACATTTCTAGCTATGAGAAACTAAAAAGCTAGAATCCTGTAACTTCTGAAGCTTTTGCTCCCTCTACGCAGTGGACAAAGTTAAACCACTTAAATCTTTTACCTCTACAAAATGGCTTGGTGAATATTTTTTAGATTTGTTGCTCATATATTCCTCATAACTGAAAGCAATTAAGTTGTATAAATTATATTAACAGAATTGTGACATGCGCTATTCCACATGTCCTTCATTGAACATTCAGAAGAGGCGCATCCACAGATGTATTTCTCAAATAACTTATATTTAGCTTACATTTGATTATTAGAAGGAAATTAGGTATGTCGCATCAATCCATTTAGCAATATTCCTTTAATGAATGAACCAAAATGTTTGAACAAAATAATAAAACATCCAGGGTCACTTGTTCTTTTCCGGAATTTATCTAGCCCATAGCTTTATGTAATAAATCACTTAATAGAAAGAAACTAGCTAAACAGCTACTCATAAACTTTTTAAGCACGCAAGGAAATAGGATTTAGGTTTTATTTGGGACAGCTTTTGGCCACTGCCTTTTTACTGCTTTTAAGAAATTTTTATGCTAGAAATATGCGATCGAAAACAGTAAGAAAATTATTCTAAACAAAGTCTTAATCAATAACAAAAGCAATTGTAAACAAACAAAAATAGAGCAAAGAATTGGTGAATGATAATTCTAATAAAAAATTATTAAGCATTTATATACTAATACTATGCATTCAAAATTTTTCTTCCTAAAATATAGTATAAAAGATAATTTCAATAATAGGTTAACTAAAATTTACTAGAAATACCTACAGCATAGGACTTCCGTCGCTTAAGTGCCTCACGAGCAAGATCATCATCTCCTTTCGCAAGAGCAAGTTGAGCCCTCCGATACCTAGAAGGAAAAACAAGCCAACTCTTCACATGATGAAGATATTAACTTGGTTAATGATAAACACCATAAGTAGCGAAAAATATTACCAATCATCAGAAGCTTGTTGAGCAGCTTTATACTTATTCTCCATCCTTTTTTGAGAAGCTAAAACCTTCAAAAGAAAACCAAATGATAAAATATGGAAAAAATTTGAAAGAAATAATAATCGCTGAAACAAAAGCCTCATACGCAAGAGTTTTTCATTCATCATTAGATTTAATACCGGTTTCCTTTTATGTATCGTGGATCTGCGTGGAGAGGGGAAGGAATTTAGAATTGTACAATTTAAGATAGCATTGTAGAACAGATTGTAATTACTTTTCCATCTATAAAAAGTAATGCACAACATAGAAGCTTTACATATGGATAACATTCCCATTTTCAAGATTAAAGCATCTTGTTTACATTAAATAAAAGAGGAGAAGGATCTCAATCATAGACCATTTACAAATAGAATAGAAATGTGATGTTATTTTAGGAAAGTGAGCAAACCACTTAAATCAAAACTACTTTTTTGACCAGTTCCTTCACAACACACATAAATTTACCTCAATTTTAAGGGCAAGTTAAATTTTGAAAAGGAATTCTGAATATGAGACTCCCACACTACCTTATTATGATAAATGGAAAAGGAAAGAAAGTGCCAATTTATACCTCATTCCCTCCCCTAACACATGCATGCAAGATATAAATGCTCAAAAAAGGTTCAACCAGACGTCAGAATGATAACTACAAATTCTTCCACCGACGGCCACCCTTTCCATAATACAACACAATGCTCCAGACTCATAGTACGATAAACGCATCAAAGCAAACTGTTCTAGGAAAAAAGCCAGGCACAGTGTGAAAGAGCTAAAGCCTAAACACAAACATTTTATGTTATTGCCTTGCTCTTGACAAAAGCATTTTATCATCGTCTGAATTTTTTCAAACAAAAGTTAGATTTTTATGTTTCATCCATAAGCATTCAACTTTCATTTACTTTATAATGTCTACAAAAATATTCCCATCCACATGCCTTGAATTTAAAAATTTAACAAGCAAGCTCTACATTGATCTGCATGATCTTTTATTATATAAATCATAATTGATATGCAAATAAAAGCATGCACTCTTAAAAAGAATGCTTTCATGTTCCCAGATAATAACAGGAAATGCCACAACAAAGATAGTCCTACGCTGCCCCCCTAGTTTATAAACGATAATGAATAAATCGTTAGTAATGCTTATTAATGCTGCTCTAAACTAAAATGAAAAGAAGGCTAGAAGACTAAAAACTGTTAGCATGAGCAGCCTACACACAAAAGAAAGCACTCATATGCAGAATAGACAATAGCAAATGAACAACCAGTTTCAAAGATAGACATGTAAGAAGGGAAGAAAAAAAAAAAACTGTTTAATAAGGGAGACAATCATATTTGGATATTTCTCAAACGAAAATTATCTCAAGGGAGACCACAATTGCATTGGTTATCAATATAATATTGGGTATTGAAGCTATTACATTCACTTGCTTTGCATATAGAAATAAAAGCAATTGGAAGTACCTGGGCTGTCGCTTGGCGCATCTTTGTCAAGTCATCATTCATTTCAAGAACTGCTTGATCCAAAATTTTTTCTGGATCCTCCACGGAACTAAGGATTGCATTTGCATATGACTGCAGTCACAAATATGTCATTATTGCGTATTGGTGTATGTATGTACACAATAGAAGTATGAGGGAAAGGAAGACGGGAGCATTTCAGAAGCCGAAAATTTTAAATAATATATCCTGAGTCTAACCTTGATTACTCTCGCTAGGCGGTCAAAAAGATTCATTTGCGCTCCAAGAGCTCCACCACCACGCCCAACACATTTTAGTGCATTGCAATTGGATGTTTGAATCCCCATGGCTTTTAACCTTCCCACTGCAAATGAAGAATAAAGCAAATTTTAAATTTACAGAGCATTCAAAATTACAAGGTATACCATTTGAATTTCTTCAAAATTTTGAAATCCCATTTTCTTGACTCGGTAAGCATGCTCAAGTAAAAAGACGAGAACACCTAAGAACATACCAATAATTTGGAATTTTGCAGTTATAAACAAAATACTTACCAAAAAAAATTTAAACTATAAGCAATCCTTATTCGAGACATAATAAATGAATATTCTGACATAAGATTAAGAAAGATACCTACAGAAGAAGACTAAATCTGAATTTCCTTATTTACTAATTTTACAAGGTTCTCAATGTTTTCATCTTACAAGAAACTGCTGAAAGAAGCTCTTACATAACGTTATAAGCAATACTTTCTATTGTGGTTCTATGTCAAAAAATTTCTAAAATGAAATATTTTGTGACTACAGAGTTTGAAGCATGCTAAATCAGCAATGCGCAACATTTCATGGCCCTAATTCCCTATAAAGGGCAAGTAGTTTTAAACTTGCATGTCAAACTTTGCTTTTTCCCAGTCATGTTAGGCGGGCATTCCTCTCCTTTTCTCAACCTTTCAATCAAACCGAAGAATTTTACAATGACAGAATTATGTGCAATGTGCTTAGCTACATGACATTATCAATATTTTATTTCATAGCCAATTTAGGGAACTGGAAGAGTTTGAGAATTCAAAGATTGGGTATCATGTATAGGACTATAGGAGTGAAAGTTATATGAAGGAAAATATCATAGTTATATCATTAATATCAAAGAAACTACATCACTAGCCAATTTACAGGTTATTAATCAGACGGCTGCTGAAGAACATATGTAACTCAATTCGGATTGTTTTATGGCACTCAACAGATAGCCAACTTGTAAGTATAGGCGGCAAAGATCAAAAAATAATAAATGCCATCAAATTAGTTACAGAAGCTTGAGCTTGATTTATTTGCATGATAGATCACAACCACATAAATGTTCATTAAGTGTTACCAAACTGAGGAAACAATTAAAACTAATTGCCTCCAAATCATAAATTTTCAATAACTGAAAATCTTCAACTACAGTATTGAGGTCTGCTAATTAAATAGAAATCTGTCAATGCACCACACCCTAAGCGGGTTTATCCCATTAGCTTTTGATTTTACACGGAATCAAACAATAATTACAGAAATATCCCTTTAATATCAAGTTTTTCACAAACATGCAGAAATATACTCTAGTCTATCTTTCATGGTTATGATAGTTACGATATCCCTCATGGATCCCTACCAGCCATAACATAACATAGATTCGACATCTAGCATGAAAGTTTGTCATGGCAATCCATCTGAGAATTTTCTAATTATAAAAGAAATCCAACCCATATTTGGCATGAATCTTTCGATTGGAACCTGTCAATTAGAAGTTTTGATAACCAAACTACTAAATGGTCAGCACATCTCCATGAATTTCAATATATTCTTCACGCAGCCTTGAATTCACGACGGATCAATACCATGTGGAAATCAGCTTTCCATCGCAATAAAGCAAGTGGCAATCCTAGTATATTATCTTGAAAATCTTCAGAGAAAACTGTAAAATAGAAAAGGAGGCAAGGTGGGATATTCAGAGATCTCTGTTTAGCAATCATATTAAAGCTAGAAAAAAAAAGGAAAACTTTCTCCCATTGATCAATAGTAAAAAAATGACATTTTCTCCATTATTTATCAGAACCATGGAGCCTCTGTAGCTTAATATCATAACAGATGGTGGAAGTATGAACATCATTCATGCAAACCATCTGTACAATAACTTCTTAAAATTTAATACCTCAACATAGTTGAAATACCATTCACAATTCATTCCACTTTCTAAATCAGTAGATGATGCCCCTTCTTCCATTTCATAACCAATTCTTACTCCCAGTTTTACTTCAGAACAAGTAACAGCACCTCTACCGAGAACAAACAATGCCCACAAAATGCTATCTATCTGAATTTGCAATAAATCAGCATATATCATATATTATAATTTAGTCTGTTTCAAGTGTTGAAAATGATTTTATCACACCAAAGGAATGGAGCTTTTGTGAAAAATAACAAATGAGGTTGATCAGTCTCTTGAAACATTTTACCTACTACGCTTAGCCACATAACATTTTAAAAGCAACAAATGTAAAGAGGAAAGCAAAAGGCATTCTCACTTCAAACAGATCAACCAAACGCTTGAGTGACCATGGAACTTGAATTTTCTCTAGTTCTACTCATAACAAGGTGCTAGATCTGCCCAAAATCTATACTTTTAACCGATTTAAAATATCCTCGAACAAAAAACTCCATCAAAATGACATTATGGAAACTTCAACAAAAGAGCGAATTCTCAAATCGCTCGTCCTTTCAGCAACAGCAACTTCCTCTTCTCGAAGTAGCCTAATCACCTTTCGAGAACCCGCACAATCTCAAAAATCATGCTCAAACTTTTAAATCAAGGTTAAAGAGTCCAACTAAAGATTGACAATGGCATATATAAATGCTCCATTTCAGAATTAACGCAATCTGCATGCCAAGCATTAAATAGCAAAACGATCCTAAATACCAAATGATGACGCAGAGAGTTCGTACCTCCACCATTGAAGAAGGAGGTCCTCAAAGGAGGACAGCGGACCAGAACCATCTTAGGAGGAGGGCACAAAGAAGAAGATGGAGATGGCACCATGCTCAATCCCCTAATTGGCGCTTTCATCGCCATTTCTGGAGGAGAAACAACACGTAGTTTCCACAGAACAGCAAGGAGAACCGGCAGAGGAGAAAGCTTTCAGCTAAAGATCGCTTGAGCAGCGCTCCAGAAGAACAGATAAACCAGAGGAGTGGAAGGAACGCGATGACCCCTATTTTTTTATTTTTATTTATTATTATTAGTTTTCTAGATCGAATGATGGATAGGAATTTTTATTGTGTTCGATGACCCGACGCAGCTCTACCTACGGATTTCAGTTAAATGGAGTCACGTAACAACCCAAAGAACTGATCCAAACCCGTTGTATTATTTATATATTCCACGTGTTTTAACTATTTCGAGTTGGCCCGACCTAGTATATATGAATTGGGGCGCCAAAAGTAAAAACGTCCGCCTTCTTTAAAGATCTAATAACCTTTTGTTGGATATTTCTATAGACGTTATACAGGATTTAAGGTTTAAAGAGCGCAGAGAAAGCTTTCGCGAAACGGTTCGAGGAGATGGAAGAGACAAAAATGGATTTCTCTTTGGAAGACATGGATGATTTCGAGGAGACTGTAGGGACGTTTAATGTTGATGATTTTTTTTTGATTTATTAGAAGTAATTTTTTATCTATATAGAGTTTTTAGAATATAAAATTTTAAATTCTAACTATGCATGCAACTTTTTTTTTTTTTGCTTGATACCGATATATCTCGGTTTCGACCAATATGATGTATTATTATGAGTTCAACATGTATTGTACATCGAAACTGAGCAATATCTTGATTATATAGTACCCTATACTGAGCTTATTCATGATTACCGATCTTTGTACCAAGACCAAAGTTTCGAGTCAACTCGGTACCGATCGGTACTGCTCGGTACTTATAGGTATCACTCGGTATAAACTCACTGTGTAGTTGTTCTGAGCTAATCCAAGATCATAGTACGTAGTACCGCACGATCTTTGTACTGAGACTAACAAATATTTTGACTGCTCGGTACTGCTCGGTATTTATACTCGGTATCTCGGTATTTATTCTCGGTATAGTTTATCGGTATTGAGACTCGTTATTTATACTAGGTATTTAATCTCGATATAAACTCAGTATTGTTTTGCACATGTAGTTTTTTACTGCCCAGTCTGTATAAGAATTTGAAATATTTTTTCGCATGGTGTTTACAACTATGAGAATGAAGCATATGATAAATATTGTCATTATGCGCATTCTCATGATTTTAGTGTTCGAAAAGAGCATCATTCATTCAAGCAAAATTCAAGGAGAATAAAATCCAAGGATTTTGTATGTTCGAAAGCAGGATTCAAGAAGAAAATTGACATAAACGCAAAGGCAAAATTTTGAAAATCAAGCACAGGAATCGGATGTCCAGCTATGATAAGATTTTCGATTAGTGAAGATGGAATTTAGATGGTGAATAAATTGATAGAGAGTCACAATCTCAAATTGGCTAGGCCGGATGATCAACATTTTCTCAAATCATCTAGGCACATTAGTGATGAGAATGCATCTGTTCTGAAATCTATATCAGAAGCTGGGATAAGAGCAGTTAATGCATTTACATATCTATCTGATGAAGAAGAAGATGTAGGAAATATGGGGTTCACAAAGAGGGATGCATACAACTATATTCAAAAAGAGAGGAGAGCCAAGATTGAGAATGGGGACACCAATTCACTAATCCAATTATTTAAAGAATGGGTAGCTGCTGACAACATGTTTGTATGGGATATCTTAACTGATGAAGATGACAAATTGTTGAATTTTTTTTGGGTTGATAGGTTAAAGAGAATTGATTATGACTGCTTTGGAGATGTGATTATTTTTTATACAAACTACCATCTGAACAAATATAATTTAGCATGTGCCCCTATTATTGGAGTGAATAATCATTGGTAAATTGTTCTATTAGGTGTGACATTTTTATCTGAGGAGACAATTGAGTCTTTTACCGAGCTATTTAGAATATTTTTAAGAATTATGGATAATAAACATCCCATAATTATATTTATCTATTAGGACCAAGCAATTGCTAGAGTAATAGAGATTGCATTACCTAATACACGGCATAGGTTGTGCCAATGACATATTTACAAGAAGGCTCATTCCAAAGTTTGGTGCTCTAACAGTAACAACAAAGTGAAAGGCCTATTTTATTATTATTTCAGCAAGTATGATTCTGTGGAGGAGTGAGAGAAACTGGAATGAAATGATCATAGAAGGAAACCTCTAGAGTCATCAATGGTTGAAAGATCTGTACAAAATCAGGAAAAAATGGTCTATAACATTCAACAAAAAATATTTTAATATTGGCATTTTATCTACACAATGTAGTGAGTCCACCAATCATGTATGCCATGAAATTTCCAAGCCAACAAGTTTTATCACTGACTATTTTCTGGAGTTGGAAAATGTGATGAAGACTTGGTGTAGGAATGAATAAGATGAATGTTTTAAATATAGTCAAACGGAGATACAACCTTATATACACAAGTAGAACATTCAAAGGGATTGGCAGCAATATTAGGAACTAATTTATATGTAGCTGGCATAGTCTTACAATAAAATGCTTGCCGAATTTCACAACCAATTGATTACAAACTTCTATAAAAGTTGACGTTCGGCATCTAAAATGAATATTCAGAGAATATCCCTACATAACAAATAATAAAAAAATAATATTTAAGTTTATACCGAGTAATTACTTTGAGTACCGAGTAATATTACAGAGCTTTCAATTTGATTAATACTGAACCTTGTCAAAAAATTTCACACAGTATTAAATATATAATATATTATATAATAATGATAAACATTATTTGGAAGATATGTCTAAGCTTATACCAACTAATAACTTTGAGTACCGAGCAGTACCGAGTAATATTACAGAGCTTTCAATTCGATTAATACCGAACCTTGTCAAAAAATTTCACTCAGTATTAAATATATAATATATTATATAACAATGATAAACATTATTTGGAAGATATATCTTAGATTATATCGAGTAATAACTCTGAGTACCGAGTAATATTACAGAGCTTTCAATCTGATTAATACCGAACATTATAAAAAAATTTCACTCAGTATTAAATATATAATATATTATATAACTACGATAAACATTATTTGGAAGAAATGTATAAGCTTATACCGAGTATTACCTTTTAGTACCGAGCAGTACCGAGTTGTACCAAGCAGTACCAAGCATGTAAACCGAATAATAAGGACCATTGTAGAAAACAATTTATGTATATTTTTCCAATAATAAATACTATTTTAAAAATATATTTATGTTCAAACCGAGCTATACTGATAATAAAGATCAATACCAATCGGTAACAAGAAATACCCATCTGTACTGAGTAGTACTGATCTGTACCGACCACGAAGCTCTGATTGATTAAAGATGTTTTTACATGAGACATTTAAAGTTTTACAGCAGCAATTAAAGTTTATAAGTAAACCCTAATCCTAAAAATTTTATTTGTAATTTTTAACCACAAGTATATGAGAAAAATATTTGCTTCGGAAGAAAATTCTAACATGAGGCATTATTTCTCTGAAGTTAATCCATCGAAAATTTGCTTCAGAATGACTGAAGATGCTTGTGAATGCGAAGAATATGAACAGTTGCAGAAGAAATGCTTCGTCTTTGAATATGGTAAAGCGAAGTGAATCGCCGCTGTTTTTTATTTAAAAATTACCATTATTTTCAGGTCGGGTAGGGTCGTCGGGCCATCATCATTCCAAATACGCACATACTATATACCCATTCTTCACCGGGCCGGGTCCACGGTAATGTGGCTGCTATGTGGCGCCATTTAACTGGCATCCGGAGGAAGAGCTATGTTCGGACACCAGATACAATAAAAATTCGATGGATAGAGGGGTCAAAGATAGATGGATAAAGGGGAGTGAGAACGTAAAGGTATTCCAAATCAAAATTAAGCTTCTGGTTTTAGATGAAATAACTGTTTTTGGATTTAGAAACGTTTTTATGGGTTATTTAGTTGTCTAAAAAAAATTCAGTATAAAAGAAATGAAGTGTAAAAAGAATATAATGTAAAAGAAATATTTTTAAATTGTTTGAATTATTGTAAAGTAAATACATGTGTTTTTTTTTTGAAGTAAAATAAAAGTAATGTCAAGTACAAAGATGGAGGAAGCCTGCGGGTAGCGATGGTAGTGGTGACAAGTGGCAAATGACAGTGGTGATGGCAGCAGCGGCGGCAGACAGATAGTTGTTGCTGACGGCGGCAGACAACAATGTTGGTGGATGGTGGTGATGCTGAGTTTGGTGGCTGCTACTAGTGGTGGGTGGCAGCATCAGTTGGTGGTGGCTCGCGGATGGAGACTGTAGTGGCCTGCAACGGGTGTTGGTCAAGCAAGTTTGTTTGTGGTGTAAACGATTATTGTTTAAAAAATGGGTGAGTTTAGTTTACCTCAAAATGAACTAAAATGATTTAAACTAATTTTATTTTATATTACTTTACATTCTTTTTTCATCCTATCAATAAGAAATTTTTCAAAACCCGTCTGAAATATTTTACACTCCTTTTACTTTCAACCAAACAACTCCTATCAGAAGAAGTTAGATAAATGATTTAGAGCAGGTAATTCAATGTTATATTAATTATTTTGAGTTCTAATTTATAGATGATTTTGAAGTTATAATTATAGACTTCTATGAAATAAACTCAAACTGTTTAGCAAAAAAAATTCAAACCTTGGAGTCCAATTTTAAAAAAAATTTGAAGTCATTTAGAGTTACTTATGATTTATTATATTTTATGGAATCTATTTATTCATTAAACTTCAAATTTTGATATAGTGTATTTACTATTTAAAACCCATTCAATTTTCTTTTTTCATATTTTAGAGTTTATTATGAGCCCAGTGAAATTTATGTTACAATTTTGGGACTTTTTAAAAATTAATTGTGAATTTTGCAAATTTAAAGGCTACTTAAAATATTTTCATTGTATTGACACTATAATTTGATTATTAACACCTTAAATGAACTCCAAATTAGTTATGTAGAATTCATTTGAGACAGTTTTCATACTACTTTATAAAACTGATTTTTCATACTAAATTTTTTTTAAACCACAAAGCTACTTTAAAATTAAGAAAGATATCCCAAATAAAATCCTAAAATTAAAAATCAAAGATGATTTTATAAACAATCATGGAGAATTTGAACTCATCTAGAATTATTTATAATTTATGATGATTTATTGATTTTAAACTTAGATTAATGTTGTTTTCTAATTCCAAATAGTTTTAAATTATTTTTCCCTAATTGTCTTACTTAAATCCATTTGGTTGTAAGAACATTGAGTTTTTTTTTTTTAAATTTAGAATATTAAAGTTTTAAAAAGTTATACTAAATTTATTAAAATTCTTGCCAAAAATAATTTCAATGAATTCAATATAAAAATAAAATTAATATTTTGCAATGGGAAAATTAAAGTCGCATTTTCTTATATAAAATCAAGATAAAAAATGCCAAACAAAATTATTTATTAAGAAAAGATCAACTTGTTCTATAAACTACACAAATTAAAAAAAGATAAATAGAAAATCAGATTTTATAAAAAAATTATGAGGAAGATGAATGTTAATAATCAACTAATGAAATAACATAACTGGTCATAATTAACCTAATTAATAATCTGAAATTAATAGTAATTTAAATATTAAACTAATTAGCCTAGTTAATCGCTAATTAGCTTATTTTAATAACTATTTTTCAAATAAATCATTACAAGGGATCTGAAAAAATATATATAAATAAACAAGCAATACAAAAACTGAAATTCAGAAAAACTTCTAAATAATAAACAAGTTGGCTGTGATTTAGATTTTCTAACATATTTATTAAACAAGTTAAATTTGAATTGGCCTGTGAACCCACTTTTGACACGAAAATGACCCATTTATATATATATATATATTTTACTTGTGGGTATAATCTTTATCATTTTTTTTATCAAATATCATAAACTTTATAGCTAACTTATAAAAAAATTGGCCAAAACAAGTAAACAGATCGAGCTCAGGTCTTTCAAAGTGCTAGCATGTCAAATTTAAGTTGGCCTTTCTAACCTGTTTATTCAACATATTGGATTTAGATTGATTGGATTTGAGTCAGACCAATTTCAAATCCCTTAAATATGACCCATCAACCTATTTTGACACCCCTACACTGTATAATACAATCAGGCTGCCAAAAGCATTAGAAAATAGAGATTCAACTTCTGCAAATAAATAAATGGCACTATCCCTCTATCAAGTAGGAAGATATTCATCCCTGTAATAAATTTATATTTCTACTCACATTTGCTCTGAAATCAGAGAAATGGATCAAAAAAAGATTGAAGAAACCTGGAACAAATTGCTGATTTTGTGACTAATTTCTCATGAAAATTGGTCAATCATCATCATGGAGCATAAAATCATATACTTGCAGCTGGTTTCTTCAATTTTTTTTTCTCAATCCATCAATCTGGTTAGATATAAAATATCAACAGAAATAAGAACTTATTTTCAAAAACCAGAAACTGGGATTTAAGAACTAAAAGTTTCTTAATTTAATTCATCAATCTGATTTCCTGGAATGTGGTTTTCTATTAACTGATACATTTAGTACAGAGTCATCTTTGGAATCATCTCAACATTCACAAACCATGAAAAAGAAATCAGCTCAAAAAGAGCAAATGAATATGAAACTCACATATAGAATGTTGGGCAATAAAAACCTTCACTACTATACTGAAAACACTACTGATAATAATGCAGATTGAAGATGACTTGGAGAGCTATTATCACCAATTCACAGCAGATTAGTATCTTGTTTAGTTTGCAAGATGACTTGGAGAACTGTTGAACATGGCATGCCACATAAAGGCTCTAGATAGAACCATCTCCAGTTCATGATGGGTCCAGATCTGGGTTGGGAGGTGTTGAAGGAACATGACCATCTCCTGGAATTCAAGCTTTTGGAGCTTGTCTGACCACTGAGAACATAGATGTAATCAGTTGAAGTTTCTGTTTTTAAGATAAGAATCAATGGGAACTAACAAAATCATGAAAAAATAATGAAAAAGAAATAGGCTAAACTATTTATAGAGGCCCATTTTAATCCCAAATTATTCCCTTGATTCTTCTTTTAAACTTGTTTGACCTCCTGGGAAGTCCTCGTGTTGCACACCTGAAAAATTGACTTTTAACCTATGTTGCACGGATACACCTATTTATGAAGGCGTGCTGTATCCGATACACCGATACACCGATACGCCTCCGATACTCTACCGATACGTGTCGGATACGCCAAAGACGTATCCAATTAAAATACTATTTAATTTCAAAAGGACACGCGTATCCGATACACGTGTCCCTTGAAAAACAAAAAGAAATCCGAAAAAAAGACATGTCGTATTTACTTCCGCGGTTGCGAGCAAGATTCTCTCATTTCCGAGATGAATTTGAGTCTCTTGATGATATGAAAATATTAAAATTTACTAATCTTTCACTTGATGAGACTAAATTAGATGATATGATATTTATTTAAGATGATATATAAGTTCTAAGACAAACAATTGAAGAAGATAATTATATCATTCCTTCTATTGAATAGTTGAAACTTCATGTGCTAGATAATTTATGTTTATGCTTTTGTTGTTGTACTAGACATTTAATGATGTTGTTGTCTTTTTTTTTTGTAATTCCAAATATTATGCATTGATTGCTTTCTTAATTTTTATGTATGATTTATAAATTATAACGCAGTGTCCGCGCCGTACCCGTATCCTGTATTTTTAAGAATTGATGTGTCCCATATCCGTATCGTGTCGTATCCGTATCGGTGCAACATAGCTTTTAACATGACACATTGATGAAAAAGGATTCATATAGACGACCCCACGTAGTGGGATAAAGGCTTAATGTTGTTGTTGTTGTAATAGTTAATTGATTCCTCAAATTTGAACCAGAATAATTGAACAAATGAACTATAATGGATCATATTTGAGGACTCGAGCGATCAAATCAAATCCAACACATGAAAAAGTTGGGATTAAAATGGGCTCGTAAAAATACTCCGGAGGGCTATTTTGACATAGTTCTCAATCATGAATAATCAAAAGTAGAGTATATACCCTTATGCAAAGAATTCCAAGACAATTTATAGGTTAGAAAATATTTTTTAAAGTAATTAGAAAGATTACATCTTGGTTTAATTGCTCTACTCCTAGCATACAGTGCATACTTGAAATCAAGCGCAATATCATACTATCAGAGATGCATCATCATCATCTGCTGCCTTATTCTAACTATTTCGGTTGGTTAAAAACTGTGAGTTTAACTAAACTTATACAATTACAGACTTGCTTAAACAAATTAGAATTTGTTTTAATTCTAACTAGAACACGTATCTGGTATGTTCAATTTTGTTGGTGAAAATATAAAATACAAGTAGTCAATTGGATAGGGTTTGATATAGATAAAAAAAGTGAGGAAATACAGCACTTGTGACCATATCATAATGTTTTGAATCCATATGATATGGTATGTCCAAACTGATAGGTTCTTCTAAGAAATTACTGTTTAACTTAACTTCACTTTCTTAGAAATTGGCATAACTTCCACTCTTGAAAACACTGACTAAAAGAAAAAAAGTTTGGTTCCTTAAACTTATAGATACTGAAAAATTCTATAATGAAGCCAAAAAATTAGAAAAATTGTTGTTTGATCCAAATCATTCGACCTCGCTGAACAAAGAAATTTGAATGATTGGGCCTTAGGAACAGATTCCCTACAAACTTGATTAATCTCAATCAGAAATCTGCAGACTCAAAAAATTCATGTCACGGCCTCTGTTGGGGGAGTCTTACGAGTATTTTTATATTAAAGTTTAAAAAGACTGAGTGTTTCATATCAAAGTTTAAGAAGACTGATTAAATTTAAGAGAAGACACTACTTAGATATTTCATCCTTATTTTAAGAGAACTTTATAATTCGGTTTCAGGTTTCTCATAGATGCAAGCCCCTATAATTAATTGCCCTCCCTGTTATGAGAGAGAACTTATAATTAAGGCTAATCATTAGGAGGCACTAAGTGCTCAGTGGAGAATTGAAACGATTTCATTTAGGTTTGGAAATTTACCGCCATGGGCTTAAAGTAGATTTGGGGGCAGGGGGGATCACGACGAGTTCGACCAAGGTCCCATGATTCAATCATCCAGAGTTGTTATGGACCCTGGTCCACTTAGTTAAAGGAGGTAGCCGACCAAAATTGACTAAAGGTAGATGTCCGACGAGACTGCAATTGGAGTTTCTTCTTGTTTAGAGAGAGAAAGGGTTTTTTTGTAAAGAGAAAGTGAGAGGAAAAGGGTGATAAAGATATAGTAGGAGAATGATTTCAGTTTAGAAAGAGAAAAGGAGAGCGAGTGCGATTGAGGGAGGTAGGGATAGATTGAGAGGTGAAGGAAGAGAGATTGGGAGGAATAGAGCGAAAAAGGTAGAGGTAGAGATTGGGGGAGAGAAAGAGATGAAGAGTGAAAAGGTAGTGAGTGGAGGAGGTATAGGCAACGATGGGCTTGACGACAATGTATATGGTACTAGGGCAGCTGGTGGTCGTGTATGTAGAGAGGAGGAGAGGGAAAGGTGGTTTGGTTGGTGTGAGGGCTTGGTCGTGCGGGTAGGAGGGTGTGCAACACAGAGATAACAAGAGATGGAAATGAGGCGGTAGATGCTGTGACAAATTGAGGCTGTGTTGGCAGATTTAGGTTAGTATTATGAGGAAGGTGGATCTTATTAAGATTTTAAAATGCTCTGATGATGTCTTCCAAGCTTTGTGAATCTTTGGTCAAAAGTTTTATTAGAACTCAAAGCCTTTCAACCTTATTTTGAATAGGAAAAATTGAAAGAATGTGCTTCGAGATGTTAGATTCGAATTTGTTTGTGGAGGAAACTCGATTTTACTACCAAGCAATCTTTTAAGTAAAAACAAGATAAATGAGAGAGATCTGAGGAAAGCTTAATATACTAATTTAGTATGGAGAGTGAGAGAGAGATGAAATCCTAATATCCTAATGTAGTAATTTTCATGTAATATGTTAGCCAAATTTAAGGACATTTATTGTCAATAAATTTAATTTTTTTGTGTGCATTTCATTAAAAAAGTAGAAAAAAACAAAAATAAAGAGAAAAAAATCATAATAAAACAAACCCACAATCCCTATTTACTAACAGCAGCTGCCCATCCTTTCTCTCTCATACTCTATGTGCTACATACCCTCCTACTTTTGTGACCACCTTCACACTCCAAGCAAAAGGATAGGGTACATTATACAAAAATGTTCTAAATTTAGATTTTTTTTTTAATTTTTAATTGATTTAAAAGGTATATATTTTAAATTAATTTTAAATTATTATAACAATAGATATATATTTATTTTAAATGAGTATCAATTCATTTGACAAGTTTTTGTCGTTCGCATGTGTCGAATTTTGTCCTTGTTTGGTGCTTGTGAGTGATTTTTTTGTTGTTTGTCTCTTGAGTGAATCCAAATAATTTGTTTCATCCATTTGGAAATTAAACGTTTCAGACACAATGGTGCAATCCATTAAATGAGAGATTTTCTTTCTTTATTAGATTTAATTGAGAATTTGACTCTTAACAAGGCACAATGGAAAAAAATGAATCATGTAGCCGACTCCACATAGTGGGATAAAGGCTTGATGTTGTTGTTGTTATAGACAGAATAGTGTCATCCGTTTTGTGAACGAATAACGTTCGAGCGATTTCACGCAATCTCATATCCACAATTTGTAATTTTTAATTGCATTCACTTAGAATTGAATGTAAAAGGTCTCTTATTGGTATTTTCAACATTTTGAACACAATAATGTGATTTGTTTTGTGAGCAAGCAACATTTAAGTGATTTTGCACAATATCAAGGCATTTTGAACTTGAATTGTGTGCATCACATCAATCAATCGACACTCTTATCACGCTTGCTTGAATCTATTATTAAACACATATGGAGGTAAATAGAAATACTTAGCACCTTTGCTATGATGCACGAGCACGGACATGATAGCATGGACATATGAATGTAAGTGAGCAGAGCAAGCTTGCAAGCCCGACTCGTTAACGAGATCACGAGTCGAGCTCATTGAGCCACGAGTTCAAGCTTGAGCTTGCACTAGAGCTTGTGTTGGAGCTCGTATATTAAACGAACTCGAGCTCAACCTGAAAGCTCATTAAGCTGCTCGATTAACTTTAAATATATTTAAAAAATAATAATTTAAATTATCATTATATAATATATTTTAAAAATTTTAAATTAATTTTGTATTAAAAATAAAAATTCTTAAAAGAACTAAAAATTTTAATTTAAAAATATGAAATCGAGCTTAACAATCGAGACTAGCTTGAGCTTAGTAAACGAGCTCGAGCTCGGTAAGAACTAAACAAGCTTAGCTCGATTAGGTAGATACTCGACTTGACTCGACTCGTTTATACCCCTACATGGATACGACATGATACGACATGATACGAACACGGGACATGTTAATTATTGAAAAAAGAGCACGTATATAAATTGAACACCATAATATAATTTTTATATTTTAAAAATAGTGTATAGAAATTAAACAAATAGAATATTAAACATAATTGAGAAATAATAAATCATTTACCTATAATTTATGCTTTAAATGATTAATATTAAAATGTCGCAAGTCAGGTGTCAATCACATGTGTCAGGAGAGTCAAGCATCGAGAGGGAAAATGTCAATGCTATCAAGAGTCAGGCGTCGATGTGTAATAGACATCAAATGTCGATGTTGAGACGACGTCAATATTGAGACAACGTTGGACAAAGATGAGATGTCGAGATGACTTGAGGGTGTGATCGTGGATGTCAAAATTGCTGGCGTCCAGAGTCAATATCAAGCCAATGTAAGACTTCGATATTGACATGGATTTGAAAAGATAATGTTGTGACAATGCTAAATGTTGATATTTAGATGGCATCAGACATTGTTGAGAAACTCTAACGACAACTCACCATAGAGAAATGAAAATAGGAATGTTTGGGAAATGAGTACTAAGTGTGAGTGATGATTTAGGGCTGTGGAGAGGAAATAAGAAATTTAATTTATATATTTTTAATAAATAAAAATTTGAAGCACAAAAAATTATACTAAAAAAAAGATTTTCATAAAATATTTAAGCCACACACCAATTTGTCCGACATGTATTGTAGGCATGTGTTGGATACGTGTAGTGTTTAATATGTGTTGTACACTGCATATATCTTTGAGGAAAAGTGTCAGTGCATCATAGCTCATTTGCTTTCTTTCCTTATAATTCTCATATTTGTAATCCTATAACTTAAAATTATGCAATTAGTAGTACATCATTTAACACTAAATATGAATATGAATTTTTTAAATGTTTGGCCAAGTCTAATATGATGTTCACATTTCATAATATACATATTTTAATTTCTTTTATGAAATCTGATGAGGACATCGTCAGCATTGTCGACGCCGGAGATCGACGGCCACGAGCATGACTTGTATTTTGTCATTTATGTAGTAGCGTATTTATTTTGTTGTTTTTTCCACTTTTGCCCTTATGGACATTTAGTCGCTTATGTAGCCCGGAAGGGCATTTGTGTCATTTCTTATTCTCTCATTTTGGCCTATTTATATGAGGCCTCATGCTTTGTAATTTCAGTTTTTGAATGAATGAAAATTTGCCTCTAATGTTCTCTTTGTGAGTGCAAAAACCTCCACGATCTCTTAGTGAGTTCGTAGGAGAATCTAGATCTCTTTGTGAGTTCTAGGTTTTCCGTGTCCTACAAATCTTCTTTTCTTTATTTCTCAAGATTTGCCTCAACCAAGTTGAGGCGCAAGCCTCATAAAAAAAACTTGAGGCGCAAGCATCGAGGCGTTTTTTACTGGAATTGCGCAAAGGCGGGCCTCAAGGCGAGCCTCATATTATTAAATCTGAAATAATAATTCAGATTTAATTAATTTATTTACTCCCCATGGGACCCACTTAATTAACCTTACTCCACCCTTCCCCTCCATGCTTGGTCGAAACCCCCTTCCTTTGGAAGTTGTTTTGAATTTTCTTTAAACCTGTTTCCCCTCTCCACGTTTTCTCATTAATGCAATTTCAGAAAACTGAAATTGTTTGTCTCAGGAGATTTTTCTCTCCTACCCGAGCTCTTCTTGGGCCTTAATTGTTTTCCCTACCCAAACTTTTCAAAGTGCCCAAGCCAAACCCACTTTCCTCCACCAACCCGTGACTCCCCACGGCTAGTCCTAGCCGATCTCCCCCATCCCTCACGCCGGCCAACCTTCTCCACTCCAAGCCGCCACCCTCCACCACTCTGGCCACCATCCCAGAACGATGATCTTAGGTTCCTTCTTCCTCGGAGTGACCTCGGTTCTAATGTGGAGACGCTTCTTCCGCTGAAGCCTAGATTAGTTGAGCGCATGGGCTCCAAAGGTGATAGTTCTCTTTATTAAATCATGGATTATTGTTTATTGTCGTAGCCTACAATTATTTTGGTGTTTTCTTGAATTGTTTGGTTAATCGATGTCACTATTCGTTGCCTAAACGAGTTAAAAACTAAGAGTTCAAAGGATCACTCTTTTATTATAAATGATAATTTTATTTTGGGTTATTAAGTTCCAATTGATCTCTTTAATTTCCTAAAGTAACTCCTCCATCGCATATACGTTTCACATCAAAATCGAAACTAATATTGCTAGCAAGAAGTTGATTTCATGATACACTGACAGTTGTTGAGCATAAATTGGAACGTGAGCCGTACCAACATAAACTTTTCTCAAGTACTACCAAGATTCCACATCGAACCCAAATGATTCCTTATCTTAAAAAAAAGACATCCAAAATAACAACTTAATGAAACATATATTGGTTCCAGCTAGAGCATCTGAATTCAACTGTGAAAACTTATCAAAGTCAACCTCTAGGTACTGATTTATGAGTAAGATATTGTACACTTACCGTTAACAGAAAACTGGCAGATATATACACAAGAAACTCTGGTAATGAATCTCCTTCAGCTAGGTATGTATCCCACAGCCGTGTAACGAGATGAAATGGGATCTATATATTGTTACAAAATGATTTAGCTACTTAAGATGATGGCCGATTCCTACAGAGTGAGCAAGAAGAAAACGCACCTCTCGTATCAAGAGGCAATTGAACCAACGAAAAGCAAACTGAAGAAATTCCAGTCCTTGTTCCTCCATGTGTCTTGAAACAGGTTCTTCCAATTCCCAAAAACATAAACAGAGATGGTTGGAGTCAGATCTACTAGAAATCACAATTTTTTTTGAGTTTCAAGGAAACAAAGAGAAGCTCGCCGAAGTCAAAGATTGAGTATTTTATGACATTCAAATAAAAACGTTTGTAACCTCATTCTGCCAGTTGATTCCTAACAGAAATAATAAAGAAGATAAAGCAAACAGAGATAAACTTGGGGTGGAACACAGGCATGTAGATGGTCGAAATAAAACGCAGAGATTTAGAAGAACTAAGAGGAGAGAAATCCGGTAAATACCGTCAATTCGTCGAACCAGTTCTTTCAATTTAAAGACAAGACGCTGTATTCCTGGCTGAGCAAAAGTGTAATGGTCCTGCATGCCATCAAGCAGCTTAGAAAGACACCAATAACAGTCCGCTTCAATATTGGAGATTGTTTGCGGAGAAAGTTGAGAAATGTTCCAACTCTCCATATTTCCTTCAAGATGCTCTTCCAAGAATACTATTAAAAATGGAGTCACAAGATCGTTGATTCCTTGGACATATCCACTTGCTGGATGACGAATAGCCCTAAAACAAAGTTTGGATAAATTACAACTTAGATGATGTAAATAAATTAAAAAAATAGATAAACAAAGTTTTTCATGCTAAGTAAGATTTTTGATACCTAAGGAAATACTTATAGAACTTAACATAGAACCAAAGAATATTTGAAAGCAGGAGTTCATCTCAAAATCAATTTGGATTCATGTCGGGTAGGTTGACTATGGAAGCCATACATTTATTAAGAGATTTGATGAAGAAATATAGAGTAAATAAGGAGTATCTACATATGATATTTATTGATTTAGAAAAAACATATGATAAAGTTCCAAGAGAAGTGCTATGGAGAGTTCTTGAAAAAAAAGGAGTCAATAATGTTTATATTCAAATCATTAAAGATATGTATGCAGGAGTTATTACTTGTGTTCAAACCAACGTTTAAAATTGCGCAATAAAAGGCGCGCCTCAGCGCAATTTCGTCCATTTAAGCCTCAAAGCCTACGCAATAAGTTTAGTTTATGAGGCTTACGCCTCAAGTTTACTGAGGCGTCTCGCCTCATATATTTAAGGCGTCGCCTTTTTAAAAATTAACCTCTTTTTTTTCAGTTCGGACCCCCAGTTGCCGACGTGGCGCGCCTAGTGAAATGTCGACGTTGCATCAACATTTAAACCCTTGTAAAGGTCGAATGGCGGAGTCGACGTTTCGATTTTCAAGTTACAGTAAACTTTCGAACTTCCAAGCATTCACTCCGGAGCAATTTCAAGCATTCTTCACTCAGTTTCTTCTAAGATGTCATCACCCCCAAAGAAAAAGGTAACTTAATGCTATGTTTTCTGTTTCGTAATGCGTATTTTATGGTTATGCTATGCGTTGGTGTTCAAGGCTCTGAAGATCTTAGGATTTTATGCTTATTCTATGCGTATGCATGGCTTCTCGAAACTTTTTAAATGTTTGATACTTTGATGCCACCGTGTTTTCTCTGTATTCAGGGTTTACTATGAATTTATGTTGAAATTTGAAACATAAAACCTAACTAGATTGCTTCCATTTACGCATTTTCTGTGCGTATTTTATACGTAAACTTTGCGTGTTCCATGCTTATGTTGTGCGTATTTTATGCGTGCGTATAATTTGCTGTCATTTCTTTGCAATGTTCGTTCTAATGCGTATGTTATGCGTACACTGTGCGTATGTTATGCGTACACTGTGCGTGACCGTTGCTTACATTGTGCGTTGTTTTTGCGTATCTCATTTACTTATTTTTTATTTTTTATTTTTTAAAATTTTCAGATATATGTTCGTCCAATAACCTATCGATGCTACGTTTCTACGTTTCGAACAAACTGTGATGACTTTGCTAAGCAAATTACTCCTGACTTCTTGGACACATTGAGACGTTTAAAGATCATACAATTTTTGGAATTTCTTGGGTTTGAGCAAAATGTCCCTCTGATTTATGAGCTGATCTCAAAGTGGAACATTTCAAAACAATGCTTTGTTATAAAAGGTCAAGCCATTCCTTTCACGGCTGATGAAGTGGTCCTTCCTACTAATCTGCCAAATAAAGAAGAAAAAATTTCCTGGCTTTCCTTAGCACATACTTCAGTTACATCATTGGAAATAAAGACAGACATGATGGAGATGAACAAGGAAACCCCCCCCACCCCAAGACTATGTTAAGAAACTTTATCATGTATTTATGTTCAAATTTACTTTTTCAACTTAACAACTTCAAAACCCCTAGGTTGCTTCAAAGAATAACAAATAATCTAGATGAATTTTTGTCAATAAATTGGGCTAATTCAATTAGGGAATTTTTAGTTGCAGAGTTTAATAAGGCATCCTCCAAGATTTCAAATAAGAAGTCAGCAGGTTACATCAATGGTTTTGTACCTCTA